TTCTTTTTATGCTCAGCTACTAAAATTTCCCTTTAGTGGTAAAATTCCATATAAATATTCAATACTAAGCAGATTAAAATGTGCACAGTAAAGAGATTACATGATTAAATCTTTTCACTACCGACCAATGCACCACGAGTGCTCCTGTCGGTCATTTTGGACAGCCAATCACTTACCCGAAACCCGAAACACTCGGTCTTCGGTGTCTTCTAATGCCCTGGCTAACCTTCACTAACTACCCAAAACCATACAAGACAAACACCACTCACCTGTCCTAAACTAGTGTTACTAATATAGAAATCAACTATGTGTGCAGAATGTACCCGACAACCTTAACTAACCCTTAACACAAAAGTTCACAAGTGAACTACAAATACAAATAAGGGAACATGAGTGTAGACAAGGAATAGGGCACAAAAGAGCACAGACGTTGATATGACACGTTTGGGCAAGGTAATGGTGAAATACAGGATAATACACAAACAAACAAAAGTACGAGGAGATGAACACAAACCAACAAAGCTGAAGCTATACGAAAACACACAGACTAAACAAAACAACCGAAAACAAAGAGAAGCCAAAGCAAAACGAAAGCGAAAACAAAGCGAAATTGAAGCTAAGCCGAGCAGAATCTAAATCAAGCGAAAGGCCCCTTCATTCTGAAAACCTCCAAGTTAAATACTGTAAGTTGAGTTCTGATTGGTCGAGAGTTGATTTAAGATGATGTCATAATGGCAAAGATGGTGTAGTGATGGACCAATGGGGGGTGGGGTACCTGAATAGAGGAAGCGACAAAAAACTAAACAAAACATGGGCACGCACGAGGACGTAACAATATATCTAACTGAGTAATGTTGTTTTTGTAAAGTTACTCTCTTTTTTAATTAATTCAACATTTAAAGTACTGTAGTATACAGTTGAAAATTAATAAAAGTCTAAACAGTATACAACTTAAATTCTATAATTGGAAAAAAATTGTCCCTGAGCTTTGACCGGGATTCAAAACCAGGCGTTCCCTGACAACAGCCCCAATGCTTCTAACTGTCACGTTGAGCTTTCACTTGGCAGTTTTACAAAGCAGTGCAGTCCCACAACATTGTATTTTTAAAAAGGTGCTGTAAAACATAGCATGTGCATTGCAAAGTACTGCATTATCCCCATGCATTCTGAATGGATCTGTATATTGTTTTTTTACAATTAATTCCTGGTAGCCATAAAGGTACTTTCTCAATTTAATCTTCTGATTTCTTATAGTTTCAGTAAATTCAAACCATCTCAACACTGTACCATGCATAGTGAAGCTCTAATGCTAGTAGCATCCTTAAATCCTTTTAATCACAGAGTCGGGATGAATGTGTAAGACAGAAGCAGATTGATTTGCTGTCTGATGGTACAGAGTACTTATAAGTGTCTGTGTGAATAGCTGTCCTGTTTTTTTTAAGTGTCTTAACGCAAAAACAACAGTCCCAAATAGAGCACAATTGTGTGTATTATCTGACAAACATTTATGTAATCCAAAACTGAAAGATGTACTTCAGGCAACAAAAGGATGCTCCTTTTTCTGAATGTAACACTTACAGGAGTATCCTGTGTTTAATTTGTGCCGGAGTTCACCGGAGTTCATCGGAGTGCACCTGTTTTTCTAGAAACTGTCCACACTCTGTGATCTCCAACACGACCATGTGACATTAAAAAAATCTAATGTGTTTACAAATAATTCAAAAATTAAATAATTTAATTT